GTAATGTATCAAATTGAGCTGATCCTCGCAGTATGCCAAGCAACTTATGCAGCTGCAAATTGAAAGACTCGGGAATAATCTTGAACGGGATTTGAACCCATTCGCTGGCGATTCCGGCGCTATTGCTCTAACCACTGAGCTACCAAACCTCATATGAGACTTCAAGTATATATTGGGTTTTCAGCTCGATTTGATGTGTATATATATATATATACAATCAAAGAAGTGCCGATTCTTGGTATATTTCCAAATGCGTTATCATGTCTTGAAATTCTAGATCTATTAGAATTGATTAGAGGCGACCTTTGTACGTAAATTGATCAAAATATGCCTGGTCTATTAAAGTAGTATGTTCTGCGCGTCCTTGTTCATTTGATATCTCAAAGAAATACTCTTAATTAGAAGAGTCTAAATAACCGAGTGTATCTTTGGAAACTAAAAATGGATGGAAAAGTTTCCAAGTCGAATAAGTTAACTGCTTCAACGATAGTCGCCATTGTTTCGTTAGTCGCTCTCTTGCTGTGCTGTGGTGAGTTTATACGAATCGAGATGATTCTGAAGCAACAAAACACGAAAATACAACAGTTGGAGAACAAGATGACATTTCAAGCAGTCAATGTCGACAACATGGCTGCAAACAAAGGAAATAACCTCGAACGACTCGCTTTGGACGTTAAGAAATGTTGTGGAAGGACCAAGAAACGAATACAAAGGAGTGTTGACGGGAAAGACTCACTATTGCAGGAAGAAACTAACGATACGAAAAGTGTTAAACTGACCAAACTGATCGAGCAGCAAGTGAGCAAAGCTATCTCTGCTAAGAACTTTATCGCTATACGAGGGAGAAGAGGCAGAAGAGGACCCAGAGGACCACCAGGACCCATGGGTAAGCCAGGTAGAACAGGCAAGCAAGGAGTACCGGGACTGAAAGGTGATCCAGGACAAAATGGAGTTCCCGGTCCTCGAGGCATGCCGGGACCGAAAGGGGACCGCGGTCCTTCGTTAGAACATCCATCAGTTGTCATCTCTCCCCCTCATTTGATCGTCAATGAAAGCAAGTCTGCTATCCTGAATTGTTCTGCTAAAGGATATCCAAGACCATCCATTGTGTGGTCTAGAGTCAATGGTTTGATRCCCACGAATGCATTCATATTGAATAATACTGACCTTGGGATCCAAGAGGTTACACCTCTTGAGTCAGGTATATATCAATGCCAGGCTTCTAATATTCTTGGTAAAGTACAGAAGACAGCAAGAATTGAAATAAACTTTAGTCCTAGAGTTAATCTAAACAGAGGACCTGTGCGTGCCAAGCATGGGAATAATATAACCCTTCCAAAGTGTCACGTGACAGGACACCCCGAACCTAAAGTCACGTGGTATAAGGCTGTTGGTTTGTTATCAAAAACACGAACCGTTATCAAAGACGACAAGCTATCGATATCAAACTCAGCCATAAATGATTCTGGTACATATTTGTGTAGAGCAGAAAACCTACTTGGATCAGCCGTTGCAGGGACAATGATAGTCGTAATACCAATACCATTATTTGTGATCAAACCACCTGTAGATTTAGAAGCCTTCTTTGGAACCAATACTGTATTAAATTGTTCTGCTAAAGGAGTTCCTGAACCTCTGATAAAATGGAAGAAAGAAAACGGCCATCTTCCAGCTGGACGACATGAAGTGAAAGATGGGTCTCTTGTTATTAAAAATGTTGCCAAATCCGATTCTGGTGTCTACGTGTGTACCGCTACGAGTGGTGGAGTTGCTGACACGGAAGCTAAAACACGAATAAACATTGTCTACAGCGATTGTGAAGATGTCTACAAATCAGGCGAAAGACGTAGCGGTGTGTACACAGTAAAACCCGACAGTCAAGGACCCTTTCAAGTGTACTGTGACATGACCACTGACGGAGGGGGGTGGACAGTGTTCCAGAGAAGAAAAGATGGATCTGTTGATTTTTATCTTGGATGGCAGCAGTACAAAACAGGTTTTGGAAACCTGAATGGCGAGTTCTGGTTGGGTAATGACTACATCCATCGCCTGACAAAAGGTAGAGCCTCGACTCTACGTATAGAACTGAGACACCGGGATGGAACGATTGCRTATGCCAAATATGGTAGTTTTAGTGTTGGTTCYGCATCAGACAAGTACAGACTGAAGGTTGCCTCGTATTCGGGTACTGCGGGAGACTCACTAAMATACCATAATAACATGCCTTTCAGCACAAAAGAACAGGACAACGATCCTAGCAGTTATTATAACTGCGCTTTRTTTACYACTGGGGCGTGGTGGCATAATAATTGTTTTCGTTCAGGTTTAAATGCTCAATATTTACCTAACTCAGCGACCAAACAAGGTATTAGTTGGTTAACGTTGAAAAACCATTTCGGAGCTCTCAGGTACTCGGAAATGAAACTGCGTGCTAAATAAAAAACACTGTGACATTCAAAAGAGAAGTTGRCTTAGTGTAAGATAAATAAGGTTAAACATATAAATTAGCAGCTTCTATGCTATAAAAGATTGACAAYATATATCTACGTAACTATATATCTATTATATTTCTTTGCTTGTGTTTATCATTTTTTATCAAATATCAAACTTCTACATTTCCTCTTCAAGAACGAGTTTTGAAGCTGTTCACGGTTATTGTTTATTATTATTATCATTATTATTATTATTATTATTATTGTTATTACTATCATTATTATTTCCTGAAACCGATTAAAACGTAGAACCTGAAACACTAATTGCAAAACATCGTAAATGAAATTCAAAAACGATGCAAAGTAACTGGTGAAGACCATGGTGAGAGGCATATATGTCTTTTATTAAAGAAATAGAAAAGGCGCGCRCGTATTGCATGAAGTCAGGATGAAKTACAGTGTATAATGAAATATTGATATATGAAATATGTTCTTGACATGGAACTTGCAAATTGCACAAACACTGAGCCTGTTCATAATATCATGTAGAACTAATCATTCAAAGTTTATCAACTTCTAATATTAGACAATTTGCATTTAAAAGTGAATTAAAAATAATACGATAACTAGTTTTAGAAGAACACCCGATACCACTGACAGAATTATATTCTAGGCAAGATGTAAGAGTTACGATAAAACTTAAATCCCTTTGACTTTGGTTCTCCAGAAATCCTTCTTTTTCCTGCAGCAATGTAAAGCTAAGAATGGTGCGCGCGAGCTCCACTGAAGAAAGAGCGCGCAGTAAAGTCGCTGATGTAAAAAACTGTCTAATCAAATTCACATGGTAATRGAAAACTATAAAGGAAAAAACCTTAGAATATATTTTTTCTATCACTAACTGTACGCTAGCTTTTTCTCTAACAGCTTTTAAACATCCATTAAATTTACGTTTCTGCCTTTTATCGCATATAATGTTGCACACGAAGGCCTGGTACCTACAAGCTATATGTGTGACGTCATTCAATATATATGACGTCACAATTCATTTATTCTAGAACACATTTTTGCTGTGCGTTTTACTTTGCTTTGGTCAAACCAGCTAAAAGGAATATTCTCAGGATGTTTTCTGCTTTGAAGAAGATTATTGGTGTTATTATATTCGTGTTTGGATGCTTTGACTGCGTCAAATCCTGGATTATTGGTAATGTCTTTTTGCTTGCTTCTTTACTTTGCCGTATAATACTTTTCTCGTTTTTTTTTTTTTTTGTTTTTTTTTGAAAATCTTCGTTTTCACTTTTCTGTTTATAATCGTTGCTTGTGATTGGTTGAACTTCTGCCCACTTCCAATAAACCAACAATATTACCTTTTACATTTAACGTGTACTTTTTGTTTCAGGTTTTGTATTGATGCTGACGACCAACCATTTCTTTACATTGGCGATGGTTACGAGTCAGTTCATGTTGTTGTACACGTTGTTTCATTGTATTCCATTCCGAAGGTAAGAAGACATTATAGGTTTGTCATCCATCGATAAGACGAACACAGTAAACACATGCACACATGATGACTGACCAGAGAACAGACAGACAGAAAAGAAAAACACACTGATGATGACTGACTGAGACAAGGACAGACAGACAAACAGACAGACTGAGAACTGACTGACTGACAGTGACGCAGGCAGACATACAGACAAACAAGTATAGGACCAAACTTGACGGTTTATACATGCACTCCACTATCTTCTCTCCTCTCCGCCGACTTCTCCCTCATCCATCCTATTTTCCTCGTGATAATCTCAATCCTTATCTTCTTCTCGGTATCCTGTCTCTAGTTTAGTGTTCAGGGCACTTGGAGGTGATCCATGGGAACTTTTTTCCAAATCCCATCTTCAGCAACTGCACCAAGATACGTGTTATTGGAGTTCCAGTGAGTCAGACACCGTTGTCTACGATCCTGAAAACCTTCATTGGAGCTCATCYTCTCTTTCTACCTACCTGGATGAAGTCAATCAAGAYGGCGRCCAGTTTAYTCWGCCTCCTACCAAACCAACAAGACATACTTGGGTTTGGACGTCTGATGAAGACAGTCAAGATGAAAGCTACGACGATGGAGTTTCAGGTAATGATGCTGGTTACATGACAGAGACGACCACAGAGAGTGATTCAAGCTGTTATGAGATTGAGGAGAGTGTAGAGATCCAACAACATCTACCCAAGTCATCAACAGAGATGATTTCCATTAAGGTCGAGGCTATGGATCAAGTGATGGATACCAAGGATGACATCAGAAACCAAGTTCTTCATGGAAAAGTTGATGCTAAGGTTAGCGAGAGTGTAGTTGGAAGAGAAGTTCCATCGCCCCCTTCTGTTCAAGAAGAGTCTGCAAACGTTGTGGAAGGTGCTGATGACATCAGTGTAGTAAAGATGGCTCCAAATGCTGATGTAGCTTCTACGAACGGTACAGATGTAGTTAACGACACAGATGATGTTGTCTTACATAGTGACAGCTTACAAGTCTTTGACAGGGCTGTGTTTTGTGAAGATGTTGATGGCTTCCAGGATACACAGATGACTGATGGTGAAGATTGCTGCAGAGATGAAGTGAATAACTTCCCTGGATCTTATGAGGAACCCATCAGTACTGATGGTATTTTGCATAGCAAAGCTGTAAAGCTTGGTCTACTGGCTGCAGGGGTTGGCATCGGCGCGTACATTATATACAAAATTTGCTTCAAAAAATAGAATATCTTAGAGATTTTAGGACAAAAGATGATTTTCATAATAAGGATGTATTTATAAAATCTTTATAAAAGTCTTTATTTTCTAGTAATATTATTTGTTGAGTACGGCTGCTATTGATTATAGTATAGGAAATATAGAAGATACAAACATGTTATTTCTTGGAGATTGTAGCAATTCGTTCAGACTTCTGTAATAGACCCCTTGCATGTGACGTCAAAGCAGCTCTTAGAATTGGAACCTATCGTTATGTCCTCCAAATTGGGCTGCATTCCGACGTGCTTTAAGAGGTGTATAGTGCATCTAAACTGAATTAGACAATGTCTTTTTAAACCAAACAATCAGAGCACAAAAAGATATTGCGGAAATAAATATGTAAAGCCAACCAGAAATATAAAAATATTTTTTTGTTTAAATGGGAAATGTTATCAATAAACTTTGTAATAAGTACGGTGACTATGGTGCATTTTTACAGTTTCTTCGTTTTACTGTTGGTATTTTTGAATATCTTGACACTGAAATGATTAAATAAGCAAGTTTATAGTGTCTAGTCAGTTATAATTTCATTTATCACATGTTAAGAGCTTGATGTCCTTTATATTTACGAGTTTACATGTCATATCGCGAACAAGAGAGTCCGGCACGAGCCGAGTGAGCGATATGATATTGAAAACGAGTGAATAAAAGAACATCAGGCTCTTAACATGTAATGATTTGTCTATTACATATTTAGTTTTGATACATAGGATATTGCATGCCGCGCGGAGATACGGATTTCATCTTGGAGTGTTGAGGTGATATCTTACGAGTGAGCGCAAAAAAAGAGTAATTAAGATATTCTTAACGCGAGAAGGTAAAATGTCTTTATTCAGTTCCTTTGTAGATTTTACTTGTTTGAAGTGATTTCTAGAACAAAGTTTTTTTTACAGCTTTTAATTTAAGTGGCATTTAACAATTATTCGCCGAATTATCCAGCAACAAAGCGGCTGGACGCCATTTTGGATTTTCGCTCGAGGTGATTATCGTGTGATAGTATGAGTTTCTTGACCAATCAGCGCGCGAGATTTTCTATAATCACCTGCGTATTTTTACTAAATAGAGGTTATTAGTCGGCTAAGCATCTGATAGGGCTGTGTATCTTTACGAGTCACGGAGTAAAAAGTACAAGTGACGAGTAAAAATGCAAAGCTGTATCAGATGCTTAGCCGACTGATAAGTCGTTTATCATTTATTTCTGTACAGAAATGCTCCCTCTAAATTATATCGTACGAGATCGCAAGCAGATGAGAAGTGCTGATGCGGTATCATATCAGGCATGGTCTTTTCCCATATCACTGACGCACGTTCTTTGCAGATTTAAATGATAACGCTGTTTACATGCTAAGAGGTTACCCCCCAAAGCCGTAAAGTTTAATGGGTTTGGGAAAGTAGAAAACGTTCTCGTGTACCAACTAAAGCCTACGCGACTGGACCGAAATGGATTTTGGGTAGAAATTACTGAAGCAGTCAATCTACTACCATCCTACGCAGACGTTCTTAGTGTCTGTCACACACAATTTCCCTCCTCACAAACGTCTGCTTATTTGAACCATAGTTAATAGTTAATATTACTTTGCTTGAAAAAATTATATCACAAATGACTAGCTCCCTCATTCTCGTACCCAGACTCTTTTCCCTTTTAGAAAGCTGAGAAGGCTTTGGGCACGAGAATGCTAGCTGCCTGTCATACAAGAGGATTCCCGTTAATAGCACTAGAAAGAGAAAGTAAACTGATAGCAGGTATGAGTTCATGTTTTCAGTTGATTTCTCTATAAGAACCCCTAATGAATTGCTATTTGAACTAAAAGATCATATCATGCTATGTTCATGCATGTAGGTGAATATAGTTATGATTTGAATGCAAAAGGTGATCTAGTCGTTGATACTATAATAATAATAATAATAATAGTTTATTTATCCACATAACGCCTAGGAGCATTTCACATACT